TAGCGTCACCATGCATTTCACATCCCAGTACGGCAGAGAGTTCTCTGCCATATTGTGATGTAAAGTACATGGTGGCGATATTCTGCGCATTCCCGATAGTGGCAGTACAGACCGCGTCCTTTCGGGGAGCAGGGGTGTGAAAACAACCGCCAGTTCTGTATGTGCGAGGCAAATTCTACAGATAATTAAATCGTTATTTTGCAGGCATTGATAGACGGAACCCCGAAAAACTAAGCAATCTTTATCATGAACAACCATTATGATTTTCAACCAAAAACTAAGAGGGAAAGAAAAAACACCATTGTACTCAATATAACATTAACATAGTTCCCAACTGTTGATCATTTTGAGTGAGTGTCCCTTATTCGGATGAAAGGCCCTCTGTCACTCTTTCCTCTTTTTAGCCTGATGTATAGACTTCTATAGAAAAATGTAAAAATGTCACTTCCTCGTCCAAGCTGTAAATATTTGCATTTGTTATTCTGAACAGCCAGTACAGGAAAAGTAATGGTGAAAAAGAAAGCACTCGAAGTTTTAACCAACAAGGGCAGTACAGTGGCTTAGAGGTTAGTGCTTCTGCCCTGCAACACTGGGGGACCCCGTTGCAACTCCCGATCAGGTCACGATCTAAAAGGGGTTTGCATGTTTTTCCTGTGCTTGCATGGGTTTCCTCCCACACTCCAAAGACTCCTGTCTTAATTGGCCCTGTATGTATGCATGTGAGATAGGGACCTTAGATAGTAAGCTCCTTGAACACAGGTACTGATGTGAATGTGCAGCATAAACTGTAATAAATAAATAAAACCAATATAAATTCTTTGTGGTCCGCATTTCGGGGGGCATTACAGTGGTGTGTGTATATTGCCTACATACTCTGTACTAAAATGTGTCCCTCTTTCTCATCATGGAATGCTGGGAAGTATGCAATAATACACAAATTAAGAAATAAAAAAGAGGTTCAAAGGAGGACATCATAAGATTTATAGTTTCTAGAGAAACTGTTGCATTTCCAGAGAGACGGCAGCGGCGGCTAGCTAATAGTTAACACATAGCCCATGGCATATGAAGATGCAGCAGGCAGGGAGGGTACACAGCTGCTAGACCCTCCAGCTCTCCGCCACTCCACAGTGACTAATGTAGCTACACACAGAAAACCACTCCAAAAAAATCATTTAGCAAATGAGTTTTCTCCGTCGATTCCTTTGGCCGTGGCGTGCTGTAAATCAAAGATACTGTAATCCGATTATCAGATCCATTTATGTGATTAGATTTCCAGGTTAGAACTGCTGCCGCAGAACTGGATTTGCTAAAAGCCAATGAAAATTGTAATGGCAGAAGGGGGGGAGAAAGACAAAAATTTAATCAAAGGGTAAATGTTTGGGGGCAGAAGAGGCTGTACTGTGCCAGACATTACATTAACATTGACAGTAATACGGAGTATTGATGAGCGCTAGTAATGGCGCACTGAATATACCCCTGGGCGCACACAGTGTCCTGATCAATTGTTATTAGCAAACCGGCAGCAAACATAATTATACAGAACCTCCAAATCGTTTGAATGCCACAGCAAAATTAAAAGGTCAAAACCAGACTAACAGGGAACTGTGCCGCTGGTATATTTCTACAGGACATATTTTACCTACCAGAAGATCTATAATTATATTATTTTGATGCATCGAGTCCTACTAATGTTTTAGGTCACACAGAACAGAGAAGGAGACCCTATTTTTCCTTGTCTTGTAGACATCGCACCGCACTCCTGACCGATGGACCCCTTGCTGAATTGACTGAAGTAACTTGGTGCCACAAGCAAAGTATGTCACCAGCAGACCAAGGATCCTCATGCAAAAATTTCTTCATAGACGTTCAAGCCTTATGTCAAACAAATAGACACGTTTCAGGACTGTGCAAGGTCCCTGCATCACACTTATAAACAGCAATATTGTAGTGAGCACTAGGGGGCACTGTGTCAGTGATTGCAGAAGCAATTCAAAGAAGTTTTGGATTTGCTGGGTACTAAGATATAGTTGGGCATATACAAAAAAGTCTATTAAAAAAAAATATACAAAAGTTATACATCCAGCAAACTGTATGTACATTCGTTCTGTGCAAGTTACCTCGCTGTCGTAAAAATTGACCACAATCAAATGATCTTATTTCTCTTTCGGTGGAACATGCATCTGCCTTGTAGCACTGGGGGTCCCTGGTTTGAATCCCAGCCAGGTCACCATCTACAAGGAGTTTGCATGTTCTCCCTGTGCTTGTGTAGGTTTTCTCCGGACACTCCAGTTTCCTCCCACACTCCAAAAGACATGCTGGTAGGGTAATTGGCTCCGGTCTAAATTGGCATGTATGTATGCATGTCAGATAGGGACCTTAGATTGTAAGCTCCTTGATGGTAGGGACTGATGAATGTGCACTGTGTAATGTGCTGCGTAAATTGGTGGCGCTATATAAATAGCTGTCATAAATAAATAAATATAAATATTCTTGGCAGAAGTGAATCAGAAAAAATACTTCATTAGGGCCACTAGAAGAAGGAGCTGAGGATCATGAGAAATAAATGCATCTCTGACAACAGATATTTTGTAACAATTCTAGAGAACGACGGAAGGAAATTAGCAGAAAAATGTAACCATTGCTACTACAAGGATCCCCATAGTAACAATGGTTACATTTATCTGCTAATTCCCTGCAGCTTTCTTTAGAATTGTTACATTGTAATTCTTGTTACTAAAATGTCCTTAGTTCCTATGCTATTTCCTCTTTAGCTGATGGTATTACTCTGCATTGCTGTATAATGTATTGGTGGGATTTGTGGTCCTCTATAGCTGATGGTATTATTCTGCATTGCTGTATAATGTATTGGTGAGATCTGTGGTCCTCTATAGCGAATAGTATTATTCTGCATTGCTGTATAATGTATTGCTGAGACTTTTAGTCCCTCTACAGCTTGGAGTCGGTGGCTGAACCGAACCTGGCACTTTACTACTGTCCTAAATCATTAGTCTGTATTGTTTTAGAAAAACGGTTACATAACACACACAAAAAAAAGGTATTGTAATTGGTATCAGCGAGTACTTGAGGAAAAGTATCAGTACTCATACTCTATCTGGAACAAATGGTATTGGTGCATCCATAGTGGGTATAAAATGTGGAAAGAGTTTTAGGTGCAGAAAGAAAACATCTCTATCAATACATGCAGATGGGGATCCAGGGATGCCAAATTTCATGCAGCCCCCGCACTGCTCTTTGCGGATGCTGTGCCCCAATGTAACTGGGTGAGTCTTGCAGGTGTGCCTTGTACAGGCTTTGTCTGTCTCTGGACATTTAATTAGAGAGCGCTGTGACAAATCGGCAGTAATATTCTCCAGTCAGACTCTTCTGTCATCAGTCTTCACTCCAAGTGCGACTTGCCTTATTAGACATAGTCATTACAAGCTACGGGTAAAGGGTTTTGTGTATGAAATTGGTAGGCACTTGATTGCTGTTGTGTGCATGTTCTGTAATTAAAACACAGGTGGCTGCGATCATTATACAAACTGTTTATTCACGTTGCTGCCGTGATCTGCACGCTCTACCTCCGACAACTATAGACTAGCTCACTCCACTCATATTTAAAGGGCCAGCCTACTTCTTACAATAGGTTAGACTTTGATGCATACTAGCTTAAAGCTGAACTCCAGGCAGATACAAAAGAAAAATGCAACGCTCCTCCGCGGCTTGGGTAAGGGATCAGCTGGGTGCTTGACGCTACAATGTAACACCACACAAACAAAAGTAAGCTGGCTGCACTCTGAATTCCACTGGAACAGTTTTTTGTAGATTGAATGACATCACTGGTGTCCCACATGAGGTCCACCCTCTCCAACGCATTTCACCCAATCGTGGGCTGAGTCATAAAGATCTCTGGTGTTGTCCAATCTAAAATAAACTGTTCCAGCAGGATTTGTTATGCAGCCAGCTTTCTTTCTTGTTTGTGTGGTACAACATGTTGCACTAAAAATATGTATTTGTAATATAGATTATTTCCTTTTACTATTAAAATACTTTTACAATGCAAGCCGTGTAAATATCTGAATTTACTTGGTATTGGTCTCTTGCAGTCCCTGGAAAGCAGAGCTCAAACTAGGAGAATTAGCACAAGGAGCAAATCTGTTGTACTGGAGTGCTTACGAGTTAACAAGGAACATGCCGAGAGGCGGAGAGAGCAGAGTGCCTCAGAGGCAAGTTCTGCTTAACTGTGCAGTGACAGGTTGGGGGGGGGGGGCAAAATCTGTAAAGCCGTTCACACTAGCCCATCTGCTAAAATGCTGTGTTTAAGTGGTCAGGCA